TGGGTTCCTCCCGCAGGAGTCGGTGGGGGAGGGGAGGGTGCCAGCCGGACTTCCCGGAAAAGGGAGGCCGCGGCTGTTTGCGCGCGTGGCGGGGGCGGGGCGGGGACACACAGCGCCCACGCTCCCGCGTCGTCAGACGCACAACTCGCTTTGGAGGCTCCACGCAGGCACCGCGGGGACCTCGGTCAAACACAGACACGCGTCAGGGACGCACAAGTGCCCGTCCACCCAGACTCGGGTGTCCCGGGGCGACTTGAGAAAACTCGTGCGAGTCACAGACAGGCTCCGCAGGCCTTGCAGGGTCAGGATCCGTGGGCACGTCTTGCAGCACCCGGGACTGCCGGCACAGAGCCGGGTCAGGCGGGCGTGCTGGGCTGCAGGCAGGAAGCAGACCCGCCCGGGCACACGGGGACACGCAGCAGACACCTACTCAGAGGACGGGGTTGTGGGAGATACGTCTTGGGCACCTGGCAGAGCAGACATGGCCTCTCGCAAGTGTGCACATGCCCGGGCACCCAGGACATGTCAGGCAGCATGCACATGCCCAGACACACACCAACATGGATCATGGACTCCTGGGATATGTCAGGCAGCATGCGCATGCTGAGACATACACAGACACACATGGACACCAAGGACATGTCAGGTAGCGCACACTCACCCAGACACACACACACACACACACACACACACACACACACACGGATACCCAGGATGTGTCCGGCAGCATGCACATGACCAGACACACAAACACACACAGATACCCAGGACATGTAAGGCAGTGTGCACACACCCAGACACACATACACACATATACGGATCATGGATTCCCAGGATATGTCAGGCAGCGTGTGTGTGTCAAGACACACATGGACCCACACGGACACCCAGGACATGTTAAGCAGTGTGCACTCACCCAGACACACACACAGATACCTGGGATGTGTCCGCCAGCATGCACACACCCAGACACACACACGGATCATGGATCCCTGGGACGTGTCTGGGCCCACAGCACAGACAGGCCCCTGCAGGCTGACCTCGATGCTGCAAGCATCACCCTCACCCCAAGCCCATGTCCTGGCTGGGGAAGTCCAGGGCTCACATGACCCAAGGGGTGGGCCTGGACTGTCCTGGGAGAAACTGCCTCATCCTTGAATGATCCACTTCCTCCCCCAGGGAATAAAGGCTCAGTGACGGCCAGTCAGCCCTGGAGCCCACCAGCCTCCTGGAGTCCCTACTGACCAGCTTGTGCCATCCCCAGGGTGAGTGCTGGGCAGGCAGGGTGAGGGAGGACAGACGGGCCTGCAGGGCCACCCTTCCTGGCCCCTCGGTGGAAGCCTGTCTGCAGATCCCCCCTCCCTCCACCAGCTCCTGTCCTGGGAACTAGGGCACAGAGGGGTTCCCTGGGGGCCAACCCTGCAGCTAGTGGCCTTCCTGGCTCACAGAGCAGGGCAAGCGGAGCGGGGGGTCTCGACTGTGTGTGTGTGTCCTTGCCATAGTCCAGGCCACCAATGCTCGTCTGTCCCTGCCCAGATGGACATGTGCACAGTTCTGCTCGTCCTGCAAGCCTTGCTGCTGGCCCCACTAGCTGACGGTGCCAACCCTGCCCTGCGCTTTGTGGCCGTGGGCGACTGGGGAGGGGTCCCCAATGCCCCGTTCCACACACCCCGGGAAGTGGCCAATGCCAAGGAGATTGCTAGGACTGTGCAGGTGCTGGGTGCAGACTTCATCCTTTCTCTGGGGGACAACTTTTACTTCACTGGAGTACAAGACGCCTATGACAAAAGGTTCCAGGTCTGTGCCCGACAGAGTGGGGGGACGGGGCAATGGGGAGAAGCCACCTGACCCTGTGACCTTCCTCTGGCTATGGCAGAGGGAAGTTGATGGGTGCCTTTGGGAACCCAGAGTACTCGGTGTCCCCTTGGTCCCTGGCCCTCGACTTGTTCGGAGCATCAGGGTAGCTGTTGACCCTGGGGGAGGGGGTGCCCTTTCTGCCTGCTGCAGGAGACCTTTGAGAGTGTGTTCTCTGACCGGTCCCTTCGCAACGTGCCCTGGTACGTGCTGGCTGGGAACCACGACCACCTCGGCAACGTCTCGGCGCAGATCGCCTATTCTAAGATTTCCAAGCGTTGGTGAGCCCCCCCCTCACCACCCGCCTCCCCTAGACCCTCACACGGAGAGACAAAGGGGCCCCGTGGCCAGCACAGTGGCTCACATCATCCCAGCACTTTGGGAGGCCCAGGTGGGAGGATCACTTGAGCCCAGGAGTTGTATTGAAAAGAAAGGGGGGACGGGTGTGATGGCTCACACTTGTATCCTAGCACTTTGGGAGGTGGAGGCGTGAGGATTGCCTGAGCCCAGCAGGTTGAGGGGTTTGAGTTGCCCTCAGCCTGAGCAACTTGGTGAGACCTCGTCTCTACAGTAAATCAAAAAGTTAGCTGCGTGTGGTGGCATGTACCTGTAGTTCCAGCTACTCGGAAGGCTGAGGCAGAAGGATTGCCTGAGCCCAGCAAGTTTTGAGGCTGCAGTGGCGGTGACCGTGGCATGCCACTGCACTCCAGCCTGGGTGACGTGAGACTCCAACTCAAGAAAAAGGGAGGAGGGCTGTGTCTCCAGATGACCTTGGGGCTTCTGCCCCCAAGATGTGTATACACCTGTGACCTCTGTCCCCTCCGCAGGAACTTCCCCAGCCCTTTCTACCGCCTGCGCTTTAAGGTCCCACGGACCAACGTGTCCGTGGCCATCTTCATGCTGGACACAGTGACGCTGTGTGGCAACTCAGACGACTTCCTCAGCCAGCAGCCCAAGAGGCCCCGTGACCTGGAGCTGGCCCGCACCCAACTGTCCTGGCTCAAGAAGCAGCTGGTGGCGGCCAAGGAGGACTACGTGCTTGTGGCTGGCCACTACCCCGTGTGGTCCATTGCCGAGCACGGCCCCACCCGCTGCCTGGTCAAGCAGCTGCGGCCACTGCTGGCCACGTACAGGGTCACTGCTTACCTGTGTGGCCACGATCACAATCTACAGGTGAGGGGTCCCCACCCTGGCCAGTGGCCACTTGGCTATGTGGGGGCTTCCTGGGGACTTCTGAATGTCTACACTCTCCCTCAGATGCCCTGCTCTCTAGCCAGGAAAATGCTCCAGAGTCCCCTGGAAGCCAAAATAACATCTACCAATTGTTAATGTATTTATTTATTTATTTTGAGCCAAGTTCTCCCTCTGTCACCCAGGCTTTAGTGCAGTGACACAATCACAGCTCATTGCAGCCTCAACCTCCTGGGCTCAGATGATTCTTCTGTGTCAGACTCCTGAGTAGCTGGGACTATAGGCGTGCACCATCACACCTAATTTTTAAATTTTTTGTAGACGTGAGGTCTCACTATGTCGCCCAGGCTGGTCTCGAATTCCTGGCTTCAAGTGATCCTCCCGCCTCAGCCTCCCTGAGTGCAGGAATGACAGGTGTGAGCCACTGTGCCTGGCTGCCAATTTCTTACTAAAGTTTAACTTGTAGGATTAATACACTCCTACAAGTTGGGAAACTGAGGCCAGGAGGGTTTATGCACCCACAAGGTGACTCTGGTCAGGGACAGACCTGGCCCTGTGCAGACCCGAGGGTCTCACCAACCCTGTGTCCTCCCTCTCAGTACCTGCAGGATGAGAACGGCGTGGGCTACGTGCTGAGTGGGGCCGGGAACTTCATGGACCCCTCGACACAGCACCAGCGCAAGGTTCCCAATGGCTACCTGCGCTTCCACTATGGGGCTGAGGACTCGCTGGGTGGCTTTGCCTATGTGGAGATCAGCCCCAAAGAGATGAGTGTCACTTACATCGAGGCCTCGGGCAAGTCCCTCTTCAAGACCAGCCTGCCCCGGCGGCCCAGGCCCTGAACTCCTGCAAGAGCCCAGCCCTGAGGCCTGAGGCTGGGGCACCTCCCCCCTTTGCTGGCTGGGTAGACCTCGCTGGGACCCTTGCCGAGGACAGGCTCTGTCTCCAGCCTCCAGTGCCACCGCAGAGCAGGAGGGAGAACCACAGATACTGACCATAGCCCTGCAAAGGAGAAACAGGCATGAACACTTGTCCCAGCCCCTGTGTCACGCCCTGTGGCCAGCTTGCCTGGACTGAGATTCTGGGAGCAGGGGTGGGGAGGGAAGCTTTCTCCTGTGCCAAGCTGCTTTCTGTCACTGATGTTCAATAAAAGAATAGTTGCCAAGGCTGAAGCAGTATTGCCGAGTGTTAGACCCTCGTGGTCAGGGTGTCTGGCTTTCCTGGGTTGTTGTGATGCGCCTGTCTCTTAGCTCCTTCCATAACCAAGTGACCTCATCCAGGAATGCGATTTTAGGTCGAACCCAAGCAGAAAGAAAGCAAGTCTTCCAGGTGCCACTCTCTTTTTTTTTCTTTTGAGTCAGAGTCTCACTTTGTCGCCCAGACTGGAGTGCAGTGGCACACTCAGGGTCACTGCAGCCTCAACCTGCTGGGCTCAAGTGATTCTTCCACCTCAGCCTCCCAAGTAGCTTGAACTACAGGTACATGCCACCACGCCCAGCTAATTTTTGTATTTATTGTAGAGACGGGGGTCTCGCCAAGTTGCCCAGGCTAGTCTCAAACCCCTGGGCTCAGACAGTCCTCCTGCCTCTGCCTCCCAAAGTGCTGCGATTATAGACATGAGTCATTGCACCAATTCTCTTTTTTTTTGGAGTTGGGGTCTCACTCTGTCACGTAATCATGGTTCACTGCAGCCTTGATCTCCTGGGCTCAGGTGATCCTTCCACCTTAGTCTCCCAGAGTCCTGGGACTATATAGGCATGCACCAACACACCCAACTAATTTTTTGTTGTTGTTGTTGTTGTAGAGATAAGATTTTGCTATGTTGTTCAGGCTGCTCTTGAACTCCTGGGCTCAAGCAATCTTCCACGTCGGCCTCCCAAAATGTTGGAATTACAAGTGTAAGCCACCGCACTCAGCCTAGTCAATTTCTTTCTTCAGTCTATGCCTCTACAATAAAAACAATCCCTTTTAAAAAAAAATATTTATTTTTAGGGTAGGCAGTCTCATTCTGTCTCCCAGGCTGGAGTTCCATGACACAATCATGGCTAATTGCAGGCTCAAACTCCAGCGCTCAAGTGAGCCTCCCACTTCAGCCTCCGCAGTAACTGGGGCTACAGTTGTGCTACCACACCTGACTAATTTTTTAAAATGTTTTTTAGAGACAGGTGTTTTGCTCTTTTCCCCAAACTGGTCTCCAGCTCCTGGGCTCAAGTGATCCTCCCATTCCCACCTCAGCCTCCCGAGTTGCTGGGACTACAAACGTGTACCACCACAAAAACATTCCCTTCTTTAAATTCCCATATTTTACACCAAAATAATGCAATGTACACACAGGTTTGCAACACTTTCCTTCTACTGAACCACACCATTTCACTTTCACATTTGTGTTGATTTGAATGTGGAACCAGTAACACATTCACATGTTTCAAAAATCTAAAACTTCAGTCAGGCGCGGTGGCTCATGACCTGCAATCCCAGCACTTTGGGAGACAGAGGCGAGAGGATTACCTGAGCCCAGGGGTTCGAGACCAGCCTGGGCAACTTGGCAGGACCTCATCTCTACGGTAAATCAAAAAATTAGCCAGGCATGGCGGCATGTGCCTGTAGTTCTAGTTATTTGAGAGGCCGAGACAAGGATCGCCTGAGCCTAGCAGGTGGAGGCTGCAGTGGCCGTGAGCATGCCACTGCACTCCAACCTGGGCAACAGAGTGAGGCTCTGACTCAAAAAAAAAAAAAACTCACCCCTTCCTGTTCCCACTCACCCATTTCCTCCCTCTCGCCTAATAGGATGTAGCTATTTATATAAATGCCTTGGGTTTCTGTTCAGTGTTTTTTAAAAATGCAAACAAAGGCAAATGGGAATGTTTTTCTCCCCTTGCCACTGAACTGCACCTTGCTTTTTAAACAATTTTTATTTTTTTGAGTTGTAGTCTCACTCTGTCGCCCAGGCTGGAGTCCAGTATCACACTCACGGTCACCCCAGCATTGACCTCCTGGGGTGACCTCTGGCGATCCTTCTGCCTCAGCCTTCCAAGCAGCCGGAGCTACAGGCACACACCACCACGCCCGGCTAATTTTTTGATTTATCATAAGAGACAAGGTCTCATCAAATTGTCCAGACTGATCGTGAATCCATGGGCTCAGGCAATCCTCTCACTTTGGCCTCCCAAAGTGCTGGGATTATAGGCATAAGCCACAGCATCCGGCCTGGCTTAAGGTCTTTTAAAATCTTTCCCTCAGTGGGACACTTCTACCAGGGCTTCTCCCTAGAAGTAACCGCTGTTACATTTTGTCATCCAAGTTCATTTCACTCGGCCCAACAGGCAGTTGAGGCCAAACAACTGGGTCCCTGCCCTGTAGCAGCTGCAGTGGCAGTTAAGGGTGGGTCAGGAAAGTGGTTCTTATGACTTGCCTTGCACTAATGACTCCAGCTGTCTGGGGTGGGTGTTACTCAGCTCTCTCTTGCATGGAGGGAAACTGGGCTCCCCTGCAGAGGTGTCAACTCAGGACAAGCACAGTGTTTTCTGTATTCATCCATCTGAAACAGGCTTCTAGAAGTTTCCCTACATATACAGCTTTATGGATGTACAAAAAGCATTGGTCCAGGGATGTCCACTGCAGCCTTGTTGGTAAGAAGGAAAGATTTTTTTTTTTTTTTTGAGTCAGAATCTTACTCTGTTGCCCAGGTTGGAGTGCAGTGTCACATTTATGGCCACCACCACCTCAACCTCTTGGGTTCAGGCAATCCTTCCACCTCAGCCTCCTAAGTAGCTGGGACTACAGGAATGTGCCATCATGCCCAGCTAATTTTTCAATTTTTTTTGTAGAGGTGAGGTCTCGCTGTGTTGCCCAGGCTGGTCTTGAACTCCTAGGCTCAAGCAATGCTCCCACCTTGGTCTTCCAAAGTGCTGAGATTACAGGCATGAGCCATCATGCCCAGCTGTGTTGTTTCCTTCTGAAACAGCATCTCCCTCCATTGCCAAGGCTGGAATACAGTGGCACAATAGTAGCTTACAGCAGCTTCCTGGCCTCAAGCAATCCTCCTGCCTCAGCCTCCCAAAGCACTGAGATTACAGGCGTGAACCACTGCAACCAGCTTTTTCTGTCACTTCTGATCCTGACCCATGAAACAGGGTCCAAAACCATCCTCATTTCTCAGAGGACATTATAGAAGCGCAAACCTGTTTTTGTTTTTGTTTTTGAGTTGGAGTCTCACTCAGTCGCCCAGACTGGAGTGCAGTAGCCACTCTGGGCCACCGCAGCCTCGACCTCCTGGGCTCCAGCAATCCTTCCGCCTCAGCCTTCCACGTAGCTGGAACTACAGGCGTGCGCTACCACGCCCGGCTAATTTTTTTTTTTTTATTTATTGTAGAGATGAGGTCTCACCTGCCCAGGTGGGTCTCAAACCCGCAGGCTCAGGCAATTCACTCACCTCAGCCTCCCACAGGCGCGGTATTACAGGCTGAGCCACCAAGCCAGGCTAAACATGTTTTTTATCTCTTTTTTTTTGACACAATATTTATCTTAGATCAGACAGATTAAGTAGTGTGACCCAGGTCATGCCCAGGAAGTGGCAGGCCTTCAGTCTTAACCACAACAGTCTAGGGAGGTCACAGCCACCCTGCCTCTTCCCATTGACTCAGAGGCTCCAGGCAGGCAGGGGTCTGAATCACAGGCCACCTTAACCCAAGGTCCCTGTTCCCAGGATCCAGAGCACAGAAAGAAGAAGTGACACATCAAGTGTCATATGGAGAATGAGTGGCTGGGAAGGGGGACTACAATCTAGGCTGCCCCCTCCACACCAACCAAGCACTTCTACCGAGCACCAAGGATCAAAGCTTTGTGTCAGGCAGCTGGGGGCCCAAGGACACTGGGAGGAACAAAGCAGGATGGGTGCTGGGGGGTTTAGACAGCTTGCTGAGAAGACAACACCAGTCAGCGTTCAGTCGTTTTTATAAAGATGCCTTTCAGAGTCAGGCACGTTGTCTCACACCTATAATCCCGACACTTTGGGAGGTCAAGGTGAGAGGATCACTTGAGGACAGGAGTTCAATACCAGCCTGGGCAACACAGTGAGACCCTATCTCTACCAAAAAAAAAAAAAGACTGGGAATGGTAGTGCATGTCTTTAGTCTCAACTACTCAGGAGGCTTAGGCTGGAGGATCACTTGAGCCCAGGAGTTCAAGGCTGTCATGAGCTACGACGGCATCACTGCACTCCAGAACAAGACCTTATCTCAAAAACATAAATACAAAATTAAATAAATTTTTTAAAAAATGACTTCTAGACTGGGCATGGTGGTGTGCACCTGTAGTCCCAGCTACACAGAAGGTTGAGGCAGGAGGATCATTTGAGCCCAGGAGTCAAATCCAGCCTGTGCAACATAGTAAGATCATTGTTTTGATAGATAGATAGATAAGATAGGTAGGTAGATAGATAGGTAGTGCCTTCCAAACTGCAAGGAACAAGACCAGAATTCCATTAGCAGTCACAGGATCTCATCTCTCTTCAGTTGTCCTGAGCAACTGAACTTGATTTCAGTCATCACAGATGTTATCATCACCCCCCACTCTGCTCCTCACAACAGAGGCTGTGAAAGGGACCAGAACACTTTTTTTTAGAGACAAGGAGCTTGCTATGTTGCCCAAGCTAGTCTTGAACTCCAAGCCTCAAGCGATCCTCCCACCTCAGCCTCACAAAGTGCTGGGATTACTGGCATGACCACCGCACCCAGCCAGGGCCAACATCCCCACTCAGGCCGCGCACACTTCCTAAAAAGCATTCCACACCAAGCATCCTGAATAAGAAGGTGAGATGCCTGCCTGGAGCAAAACCCGTTGTCATGAAAGCAGTACAACATTGGCTCAGGAAAATACCAAAAGGGAATCCAAGAACAAATTCAGGAATATGATGTAGGTTCAAGTTGGTATTGCAACTTCACGGGAAAGGAGGTATCACTTGCCTTCTCGGTTTGCACTGGAAGGAAATAAAGCCTGAACCTTACTTTATTTATTCACTCGTTTGTTTGTTTGTTTTTGAGTCAGTGTCTCACTCTGTAGCCCAGGCTGGAATGCAGTGGCACGCTCATGGCCACCTCAGCCTCAACCTGCTAGGCTCAGGCGGTCCTTCTGCCTCAGCCTTCCAAGTAGCTGGAACTACAGGCGCTCACCA